ATAATTGATGCCAGGCAATGTATCTCATACAGGGTTTTTTCAAACAATGTCTCTAAACAGCCGTCTACAAGCACTTAATAAATCTCCCAAAACAGTATACCTCAAGAACCTATTTGGTCGTTCACCAGCAATCATTGTCGGCGCTCGAAGAGTAACAACAAGATAATACCTTGTTTATAATCATATAATATAATATAATGTAATACAATACAATATAAAGTTGATAATCAACAAGATAATATAATATAATCTGCTATATTATAGCAGGATGGCGATCATCGTAGACATCCAGGGGGAGGGTTTTCCTACCACACAAATACGCAGCAGCTCTGGAAAATTCGGACTTGGAAACCCTAATCAGTGAGGGGTACAAACTTCAAGACAGCGGGGAGTGGCCAGCTCCTGATGTCGTAATCTTTCAATTGTCAATTGTTTATTTAAAGTTAGTTTTCCCTAATAGTTTAATCAATAGTACAAAAAAAGTTAGTTTTCTCTATCTTTTGTTATCATTCACCCAAATAGCTAAGGGTATTCAATCATGACGTCAAACACTAATCAATATCACACGTCACAACCAATTAATCTGCTAAAATAGATTAAGTTAACCTCTAAGGTCACAATAACAAGCTTATCTTGACCTCTTTCACTCTATCAGTTCAAGGTCAAGGTTGGACCATACTCTCCCATAGCCTACTAATGTATCCCTAAATAAAAATCACGTGAATAGCGTCTAATAAAAAAAACTAGAAAGTGTCTACAAGACAAGTGTTGACAAGACGTTGTCAAGACAATCAGGAAAGCTCAAACTAGACAGAATAAACAATTCGACCAGAAACGCCCCTCTGTAGATCGTGTACGAAGAGGGTGACTTAGTTTTGGTGTGAAAACCAATAAGGAAAATCTGAAAGTATACCAAATAGCTACATCACTGGAACGGACCTTATGCAATAGTGGCGAAAATCTCTCAAGTCAACTACGAAGTAAAATAATCTGGAATATGGAATTTCACTACGTAAAAGCCGTGCATATGAACCGCCTAAAACGCTTTTATCCCCGAGAATGAGCGGAAAGTGAGACAGTGTACATACAAATTACAATGACAAAATACATTATAGGATAGGAATATAAGTATAAAAATTACAAAACTGAAATATGCAAGGTAGGCGTAACCTTCAAATGACTGTTTAGTCCTAGGCATGAGTAAAAAAACGCTGACTTACGAATCGAACTATTTCAGCGGCCTGAGTACCTGAACTATTAGTAATGCGGTAAACTTGAGACATTTGTAGACCGAGATCGGGAATGACCTAACTGGTTTAACAAAATGGTATTTATTCGATTTTAGTGTTGATCGGCTGGACTAAACCACAGGTTCTAAAGAAATGACATGAAGAATATGAAAGAACATGGTAAGCGTAAATAAATTTGGCAGTTTTTTGTTTGCCATCTTGTGTTTACACCTTTGATTTGTTTTGAACTGGTGTTAATTGTGTGTCGTATTCATTTTGTACGAGAAGGAAACCGAATTCTGAAGCAGTACAATGGATATGTGCCAATACGTGATATGTGGAAATGAGATTTAGTTGATGATTATTGTGTCTATTAAAATTGTGTATTTTACAGAGAAAATCCCCATAACTGTTACGACTGGAGATTAATGGAAACTTGTGGACTGTAACGTTCCAAACAGGATTTTTCTTTTATTCAACGTCCACAACGTTACTGGGGCTGATCACCTCAGTTATGATTTACTCAGCCGCATATGCACACTATGATACCTGCCGTTTGAGGCACAAATAAAAATAAAAAAGGAAAAGATAAATGATATGCATAAGTTAGCTCCTGGGTGCAGAAATTTATCTACTCTGACCAAATCCTCACTTAAAAATGTAAATACTGAGCCGACCACGCCCGTTTTTTAAGCGGAGTGTAGGATTAGGTTAGGTGTAGACCAAAGATCTGAAGTATGTAGGCAACATGTATGCTAGGTAAACTTTCGGTGTAATATATCTTGTGTTCATTGTAACAACAATGTATATTTATTATTATTGTAGGGTGTACACCTAAGAAAATATAGTTCGATTATCAATGTAACCTATCGATAGGAATTTAACAGGACCTGTTTAGGCCAAAGTAAATATTTGTTTGACCGAATACTCGTTCTATCAACTTGTAAGTGATCATTTATTTTAGTTGAACATTTTGAAATCTATTAGTAAACTTTATTATTTTCTTTGTATTGAACATTTCTAAGGTCGATATTAGTAAATTGTATATTGTTGTACTGAACCTGTCTCTTATTGTGGATTTCCTTGATAATTAAGAATTTCTCGGTGATAAATCGTGTCAGTATTTTCTATTCCAAATCAAACATAGGTAGGTCTACTCTAAAATACTTGTACCCAAGTAGCATGCATAACGTTTTAAAATGATTTTATTGCATTTAAAATGATTTTAAAAAGAATCTTAGAAGGAAAATAATTTCTAAAAGATTTCAAAATAATTTTTTCATTAATTTTCTAAATAACATGGGTTTGTGAAGAAAAAAACATTTTAAAATCATTTCTATAATCGTCTGAAATATTTTTAAAATGAATATGTTTCTTAATGAATAAAATTATTTTAAAATCATTTTTAAAATGACTTGGTAGTTTTTTTTTTATGATTATACGTATCTTGATGTATAAAATCCTTTTTAAAATAAGTTTTAAATGAGATTTTAAAATTATTAAAAAATTAATTTTTAATTTTTTTTATAATGATTTTAAAATTTAATTTTATTATTTTTTAGAACAGTTTAGTATATATTTAAGTTTTAACATAAGTATAACTATTTAATATTTTTTAAACATTTGTGAAATGGTTTAGTTTTACATTATGACAGGTATTGCAATTGCTTTAGAAGTAGTTAAACGATGTATCCAATGGTTTTATAAAACGATTGGAAACATCCATATATATAATGTGTCAAGTATAATAAAATCAATCAGCTGTTAGCTATGATTCTTATTGAACTATTATTTTACCCAATGAATACACTATAGTACTCTATATTACTCTTTTTTTTATAGTACTCTCTGGTGATATGGTCGTGGAATTCTAGCGTTTTCTTGGCTTGAAATATTTACATTACACGGGAGGTCTATTTTCTGAGTAGTCAATGCATCCAGCCTTTGACCAGCGCTGTTATTCCAATGCAATTGTACCAGTAAAGCACATCTTATGAAATTAATCCCAAAATAATAAACAAAATTTTGTCGACACTGGTGGTCTACATCACCGGACATAAACTAGAACTATATTCCCGAAAAACAAAATCAAGGCCACACTAAAAAAACGTAAATAAAAGTTTTTTTAGTGTGGCCTTGAACAAAATTAAAAATAATTTACAACGGGATGAGAAGTCAGCTTGTGTTGGCTATAACCGATGCGCGAACATATGTTTTCTATTTTCCTGTGGTGTGGTTCTGTTCCGTATTCAAGCGCTACCTAGATATTTCCAGACGTTTCATATCATACAATAACCTTTGTCCTGTCACGTGATGTCTGGAAACCCCAATCTCGCCCCAGTTCTCCTGCATTCATGCAACTACTAACATGTCCCCGGCACAATTAACTCCCAATTGCTGCTCTCATCTCTTAACCCCAAAGTATATTTAATTATTATTAGTGACACATATTAAAAGTGAACTATTGAACATTTGTGAAGTGAAACACTACTACTGCCGGTCCGGGTCTGTGTACGAGCAATACGCAATAGCTGGCCAGCAGAAGAAACTCGTGTACGTCTACCGGCTTCGTCTTCTCAACACTTCAGTTAAAAGGAAGGTACCTCATCAATCTCATTATTATCTGTTAAATATTTACCAGGATTTCTCACACCCGTAATTTTCTGGGCAAAAACACTTATTCAGTATCTCTGGACAACAGGGCTAACTTGGGATGAACCTGTTCCAATTGATGTTAGAACCAAGTGGCATTCATTCTTAGAAGAACTCCCAATAATTCAAGAACTAAGAATTCCACGCTACATTTCTACTTCTCTGCATACGGCTGTGCAACTCCACGGCTTCAGCGATGCTTCAGAGAAAGGCTACGCTGCTGTTGTCTACCTTCGTGTCACTGACTCTCAAGAGAATACAAGGCTCTATCTCATCGTCTCTAAATCAAAAGTCGCTCCTTTGAAAAGAATTTCTCTGCCACGGCTTGAACTTTGTGGCGCTCGCTTACTGGGAAAACTCCTTCAATATTCTTCAAACATACTCTCTGCTCATATGAAGATTGAATCAATCTATGCTTGGTGTGACTCCACAATTGTCCTAACCTGGATACGTACTCTTCCATACCACTTGAAAGTCATAATTGCCAATCGTATTTCAGAACTCCAAGAATTGGTCTCTCCTCACTCATGGAATTATGTCAAATCTCAAGACAACCCGGCAGATTGCGCCACTCGTGGTCTTTCACCCTCTCAACTTGTGACTCATAATTTATGGTGGAATGGACCGGAATGGTTACAGTCATCGTCAGATTCTTGGCCTAAGCCAAAATTCATACCTGTTATTGATGATGACACTCTTGAAATAAGGCCAAATCCTCTAAACGTTCTAGCAACCACAGAGAAGATTAAACTCACTGATTTTGATATACTAGAAAAATATTCATGTTTCAGGAAACTTGTAAATGTCATGGCATATATATTGCGATTCATTCATAATCTGCAAGCCAATGATCCCCGCATTGGACGACTTACTTTCCAAGAAACTTCTTCAGCGAAATTAAGAATTTTCAAACTCATACAAAATACATCATTTAAGGATGACATCTCTGCTCTCGAAAAGGGATCTCAATGCAGCTTAAAACTTGCTCGTTTATCCCCATATATTGATGACAGTGGAATAGTGCGAGTAGGCGGCAGGTTGAAACATTCCAACCTTACACGAGATGCGAAACATCCAGTTTTGTTACCTAAATCTCACTGTACTGTCAAACTGTTGATTATGCATTATCACCTAAAGCATCTACACGCAGGCCCTCAATTGCTGCAGTCTATCCTGTCTCAAGAGGTTTGGATATTATCAGCCCGCAGCGTGATAAGATCTGTGATTTTCAAGTGTCAAAGATGTTTCAGACTTAAGCCTGTAAATAAACCTCCACTGATGGGAGATCTTCCTGAAACTCGATTAAAACCTGTAAGGCCATTCTATCACACTGGCATGGACTATAGTGGACATTTTGACATTAAAGTTCATTCAACTAGGAACGCTCAACGGTTAAAATCATACCTCTGCCTCTTTGTATGTTTTGCTACAAAAGCTGTGCACCTAGAAATTGTAACAGACCTATCTGTAGACTCCTTCATAGCTGCACTAAAACGTTTTGTTTCTCGTCGTGGATTGTGTGCCAACTTATACTCAGATTGTGGAACTAACTATGTTGGAGCCTCAAAGCAACTCATGAAAACTTTTCAGAATTTCATCAAGGAATCAAACACTAAAGATGCTCTTAACAACTTCGCGTTAGATCATTCAATAAATTTTCACTTTCAACCACCAGCCGCTCCCCACCAAGGAGGCCTATGGGAGAGTGCTATAAAAAGCTCTAAATATCATCTGAAAAGAGTCATAGGCGATAGAGTTCTAACACTAATGGAATTAATAACACTCGCCACACAGGTGGAGGCTGTACTAAACTCGAGACCCTTAACAGCGTTATCCGCTGATCCATCTGACATCTCAGCCCTTACTCCGGGTCATTTTCTTATCGGCACTTCTCTTGTGGCAGTACCGGAACCAAATCTTGAAGAAGTTCCCGAAAATCGTCTCAACCATTGGCAAACTGTACAAGCCCTACATCAACGCTTCTGGCGACGTTGGCATCAAGAATATTTACATCAGCTACAACAAAGAAAGAAATGGGAAAAGCCCAACAAGAATCTAGAAGTGGGTGATCTCGTTATAATTCAGGACCCTAGAACACCACCACTACTTTGGCCTCTTGGACGCATAGTGAGGACTTCGCCTGGATCAGACGGCATCGTCCGAGTTGTCACCATCAAGACTCAGCGGGGAACCTTCTGTCGTCCTGCTACCAAGGTGTACCCGCTCCCCTGATCTCATTATCAGACCAAACAAAATGTTTATTCTATTTTCAAACATATTTCTATTTCAATGTTATGTATATATATTTAATCTATGTTTCTTATATTTCAATGTCAATCTATATTCATTATGTGTCACTTTGTAACTTTCTCAATGTTTTGAACCATGTACGGTTCAAGGCGGGCGGCATGTTCCGTATTCAAGCGCTACCTAGATATTTCCAGACGTTTCATATCATACAATAACCTTTGTCCTGTCACGTGATGTCTGGAAACCCCAATCTCGCCCCAGTTCTCTTGCATTCATGCAACTAACATGTCCCCGGCACAATTAACTCCCAATTGCTGCTCTCATCTCTTAACCCCAAAGTATATTTAATTATTATTAGTGACACATATTAAAAGTGAACTATTGAACATTTGTGAAGTGAAACACTACTACTGCCGGTCCGGGTCTGTGTACGAGCAATACGCAATAGCTGGCCAGCAGAAGAAACTCGTGTACGTCTACCGGCTTCGTCTTCTCAACACTTCAGTTAAAAGGAAGGTACCTCATCAATCTCATTATTATCTGTTAAATAATTATTTTTATTTATTATTATTATTATTTGTTGTCATGAGAGCCGAAGCCCCCTGACTGCTTACCCGGTACCTATCCTACAGGACATACCCGGGCCCCATGATGTAGGCCGAAGCTTACGCATCAACCTTTAGCACATCATGGGCGGATGACTTAAGGTCATCAGGCTCGCCGGCTGCCGAAGCAGACCCTTCGGAAAGAGGGTTGCCCCTCAATCCTAACCAGGGATTCCGGCTGCTTGTTTAAGCGTCACTCCACCTGGGTTCCACTAGGTCGGAACCTAGAGGTCCATAGTAGAGCGCCCCGACGCATTTAGTGCAAGCAACACTCGGGACCTATCTCATCCCTGACAGGCAGAACCCGCCATCAATAGCCAGGAGGAAGGGGACCATCAGCACGCTGACGGGGGGAACCCCAACCTCCCATTTACACCGCTGCCCGATCGAGGCCTGACCCATTGCTGGGAACCAGAGATATCCAGAGCGATAGATCCCCAGATACCCCTGGCGGGCTCGGACCCAGCACCCGATCTACTTCGTTTGCCCGTCAGACCCAACATCACTGCCAGGCCATCAGGGTTTCCCAAAAGGAGGCAGGTATAGAAGTGGGACCCACCCGGATGAACCTATCCACCAGAGGTGGCGACACCCTTGACTCAATTGAGGTTCCGGGAAGAACCCCCCACACTCAAGATAACCATACCGTCCGTGCTCAGAGACAGGGATAGGTTTGCATAAGTACCTACAAACCGTTGCCCTCACACTGCGGAAAGTTACGTTGCCCCTGAGTGTCCCCGTGAGCTGCGGGTACTTGCCCGTTTTCACCTCCAGGAAAGGTTACTTCCAAAGTCGAGGATTTGCCCACTGAATGCTGGTCGCACACCACAAGCAGGCCGAAGCCCAAAGTACCACAGACACAGGTAGGTTAGAGATTATGATGTACTTCCATCTCTCCTAGAGCTAAACACCCCTCCATCCTGGATAAAGGAATGTCACTGGGACCCGATGCCCAGTCGACCATGTCTGTGGCCAACTTGAAATGCCGATACCAACACGGAGCATTTACCTCCCCTCTGGGGGCTAGGTATTTCACCTCCCAGGACGAGGCTACTTCCAAAGTCGAGGATATGCCTCACAAAATGTCAGTCGAACACAACAGGTAGGACTCAGTCACAACCACAGTTACAGGTAGTTGAGGAGAGGCGGAATTAACGGCGTCACTGAGAGCTAAACACCCCCCCCACCCTGAATGGAGGGAATGTCACTGGAGGCTCCCCCTAAGGGGCTGGCGCTTACCAGTCGTCCATAACTGTGGTCTACCTGAAGTGCCGGGTCTGACACCGGGCAGTTACCTCCCCTCTGGGAGAGCTAGGGTCCGCGTGGTCGCCCAGGCCACGAACCCACGCAAGCGTGAGCCCCCTGCGGTTGTTAAATAATTAGTGACAAGTTTTTAATATTGCTCTTTCACCATACAGTCCATTTAAACATTTTTAGGCAAGTTTACCCCCCAGGTTCCATCCACGGCCACCGCCACTGGCAGCGCTACAGTCAACCTTACTCGCTCAACCGAACAGCGACGGAACACGGAACGTAACGAACGAAACAACGAGACGCCGAGCCGACCTGACGCCATTTTTATTTCTGGACTTTGTTTTGTGTTGTTTACTCAGTTTAGTCAGTTTATTGTTTGATTGTTTGCTGCTGTAGTTAATTATTGTTAATTTTAGTTGTTGAGTGAAAATTTAAAAACGTACGTTTTCAGGAAAAGCACTTTGCAAATTTTTTTCCTCTTTTTTCAAAACTTTTATTATGTTTTTTATTTCATTAACATTTGAAGTTTCATAAAATGTCCATGGTAACGCAATATCTTTGGTAGTTTTTTTTAAAAGAGCATCTTTAGTGGAAAAACACAAAATCCTTTCACGACCATAACAGACGTTTAAATGAATATTAAAAATACTTAATATTATTTTTATAACTATGTTTTGCTATAAACTAATTTACTTTTATGACCATTATACAATATAAAGGTCACTGAGCTTTTGGTATATTTGGTTTTTGTAGAAAAAAAATAAAAAAACTCAAAAAATTGAAAAAAAGCCAATAAAATCTTTTTAAGTTTGTATAACTCCAAAAAAACTTACCTGAGACCCAAAAAATCGTTATGTTTGTATAGAGGTGTGCTTCTTTTGTGTATAAAACATTGAAATATGACGATATTTTAATTTTTGAAATTTTTATGTTAGAAATCGTAAACGTGATGGTCAGGGACAAGCGGTACGGTCGTGAATTTTCTGAAATAATCTAAATCTTTCTAAACAATCCTTCAATTATACTGTTAGTTATAATAAAATATGTGTTTCAATTGAACTAAACTGTTCAATTTACAATTATATTAAAGTTATTGTCACGATCAAACACACTATAATCCATAAGGCTGGATTGGTCGTGAAAAAACCCGCGATGGTCGTGAAACTTTGGTCGTGAAATTACGTGTTATTTGGCTCTGTTCTGGCGGTAGCCCTGCACCTCATGTTCGAGGATACAAAGTGGACTTCTAGGTTAATCTAGCAATTGAAATATCTCATAAACAAAAATTCACACTTTGTCTACTTCATCGAATGACTACGTACGGTCATGGACACACCAAAATTAAAAAAAACACAATCTTTCCTTTATTAATCTTGTAATTCCTCCATTCAACTCGAAACGACCGGCACTACAATCCTGACGTACACCCCGAACTTGTCTCTAAAACCAACTGACTCCATCGACGCCAGGCTTGCCACTGTCGTGCTACAAAGTTGAAAATTTTTCCCAAATGGTCGTGATGCCAAATCGAGGGACAGACTTATTTTGTCATGGTAGTCAGTTTGCAATGACAATAAAATTATAATATGCTCCTTTTTTGTAAGTTTAATAACCATTGATGACATAAAAATATGGCTTTATATACTTCATAAATCTCAAGTCAATCACTTTAAACAGAAAATATTTAAAAAAAAATATTAATGTTACTGTTCTGTCCCTCCTTACAGGCTCTGCATTATTCTTGTCCCCAAGAGACCGCTCCAGTATTAAAAATTTACGAGCAGAAAAAAACTTTAAAAAATCATTTCATTTTGAGGGGAAAGTCTAAAAATTAAGTAAATATATCTTAAGTTATTTTTACCTTGGAAAGTGCAACAAACAGTTATTGTCACGAATAAAGTGAACTGCCCTAATACCGTGACCTGCAGTCAGGCTCTCAATTGGATGGAACTAAATTAAGATGTTTTCGCGCACCCATCCACACAGTGTATTAGTAGTTTGCGCCACTGGCCACACCCAGCCATCGCACAATCGCATTAAAAGTGTTCTGAAGCCTATTTGCTGTTATGTTACAAAATTTGTCAATGACCATCATTTAAGTAAATAGGCTTTAATGGGTTTATAATAAGTTCAATTACCAATGAAATGTGATACAATTTTTTTTGTAGGCATGTCTTCACGTAAACCATTCCATACACTCACGAGGGAAGGCAAGCGGAAGCGTTTAAAATTTTTAGCTAATATTGAGTCAACTAGTAATTCAGACAGTTCCAGCAACCTTAGGCCTATAAATTATGGCGATTCTCATGAAAGTGTTGTTGAAAGAGACAATGAATTAGGATTATGTACTATTTTTAATCAAAGTTCTGTAGAAGAAAATGTCGCAAGGAGAGAAGAATCGTCAAGCACCTCCTCTGATTATACTTCCGATATCACAGAATTTCAGGGGTTTTTTCTGATGGAAGTTTTGAAAACAGTGATGATAGTAAGACAGAAAGTGAAGAAGAATCTGTTATGGATCAATGTCAGAATGACCCACCAGACAGCCAAATAGCACAAGGGTTACAAACATTCTTAAAAGGGTGGGCTATTGAAAACAATATAACTATTTCAGCACTATCATCATTGTGTGTTGGTCTGAAAAGTCATGTTCCTGATCTACAGCAATTGCCTTCTGATGGGCGGACAATTTTGAAAACACCAAATAATTTAAATTTAAGGGATGTTCCACCTGGGCAATATGTACACATCGGCATCAAAGTACATCTGAACGAAATAGTAAATCAACTTGAAAATTTGCAAATCAATATTTGATAAACTTGGATTGCTTTTTAATGTTGATGGGTTGCCATTGTTTAATAGTAAATCGAGCGAAGTGTATCCTATTCTGTTTTCAATACCAGGACTTTCAGTGTTGAAAGATAAAGTCTTTCCAATTGGACTTTACTATGGTCCCAAAAAACCTGATGATTTAACCTGTTTTTTAAATGAATTTTTAGAAGAATTGACTAGTGTGATTACATCTGGCGTGTTAACCAATAATGGCAAACAAATAAGTATCTTCCTACTTGGATTTTGTTGTGATATACCCGCCAAAAGTTTTTTAATGGGAACAACATCCCA